CCCACACCTAGACAGAAGGATGATTAGGGTCCTCAACCAAAGCCTTTGCCTCAAAAGCCAAACCGCAAGGCAGCGGTGTTTGGCGGGAAGTGCAAATGCATTACCATTTCTACGGAACAAGTCGCCACATTTTCCAACCCCAACCTGCAGGTTCCATCCCATAGAAAAATAGGTTGGTCGGATAATGGATGCAATGGTAGAAGTGCGCGACCGTTGACAGACAAACCTCACTCCGAATAGACGCGACTGGTCGCAACCATATGGAGGCCCTGGGTCTCGTCCCAGTCACGCCACGAGCTCAGCATGCTCAGCATACTGTGGCGGCAGAGCGGTATATCTCTGAATCTTAGAGACCATGTGTAACGGTCTGCAGTACAGGCTGTTTTGTTGTATGGATGTGAAATTTTTTCCGGTTCGAACAGAGTGTCTGTGGAGTCTTCAATTTTTCGACGATTTTTTTCTCGGAACCATAGCTCCTGGTGCGGGCCGGTCTGCAATGAGACTATTAGAAAGCGAGTGTTTATTTGGGCTGCTAATCGTTGTCAGTGGCGTTGGTGCTGTCAGTTTCTTTCCAGACTGTCTGACTGAGTGCTTGAAGGTGTAGGGAGCTTAGAATACTTGCGATAGTTCAGCGACCAGTCCCTTCTCCCATACACTTTTTATTTTGTGGCTTTAAATATAATTACTAAGCTTTATGGTTGTACGGCAATGTAGCATCAGTGTTAACATTGGTGCTGTTTTCAGAGCCCTATTCAGAGAGGTGGCCAACCCATGACCTGCCTGACGGATGTGAAAGGTTGCAAAACGTTTGGCTGCTGTCGGTGCTACTGGTCTTCCAGGATGATGACCACATGATCCCAACTGCACCTGGTTGGGGACGCTGCTAATCGATGTCAATGGCGTTTCTGCTGTTGGTTTATTTTCAGCTTGTCTGAATGAGTGTCTGGAAGTGTATGCAGCTCGGGATGGTTGTAATAAGCTAACACTAAATCCTTTCCATTCTTTTTTCACCATAAGACTTTCAAATAAATCATGGTTGTATGGCAGGGTGGCATTGATATTGAACAGCGATGTCATGCTGTCGATGATGTATTTCCCCCCTAATGCATTGGAAGGCATGAAACCTTACTTACTCACTTATAAAAACAACTTGCAGCGGTATCATACCTGCTGGTGAACAGCGGAATTACTCGTGCCAGTTTTCCGGCATTTCGGTTCATTCAAGCCGAACCAACTCGGACCCCTCTGCAACAAGTAAGATCCAATCGCCCTAATGTTCACTTCCTTAAGCGCCCTTTCTGCCCCACGCTTTTGGTGCCTGCTTCGTATGCAACTCAACGGAAGGTTTCCCATAGTTAGACAAGTGCTCATGTTGGATTCGAATCTAGAATATCTGCTCTCGACGACGACGATGATGATGATTGTTATGCTCAAAATTACTCGCTGGCACTCTCAATCTACAGAGCCATACAATATAGTGGTAGGCATGCCTTCGACAGGGTTTTGAGTCACCTTGCCTACAAGCTGGTGCCTAGATTAGCGAACCTAAGTTTCACACATACGGATTGTGTACGTACATGATGCACACTCGAGCAGTGAAGTTTTCATTTTCAAACGGCCAGATCCACTGAGTGTGATCGTAGCTAACACCCAGAGAGTGAGTTCTTAGGATGTGTTTCTGGTTTTCCTTTTAAAATGCACACAGTCCGTAACTTCCTGAATCTATGACATAAGCACCTACTTCTACCAACTTTTTTTTACTCAAAATGCCAGTTTTTTGACAAAGTTGTGATGTCAACCGAATCTGGGAGCAACTACTTGTATTGTAAGGATTTGGGCCCATTGTTCGGAGTAAGGATAATAACCGTATGACAGATCCACCCACAAACCAACAGTTTTCAGATCTGACACCTTAATTTCACCTATATCCTCTTCCCAATTGTAACCGTTTTGCTCTGCATATACGTACCAGAACCAGTTTGGATCTCCAGGAATTGTAAGCATGTCTTCTGCATTCTCCTTTGATGTCTTTGTTTTTGTCTTGTATGTATACACGTTACCTTCGCTTTCTGTCAATTTGCAGTTCCCCTTGTCCCCTTTTCCATTTGCAGCTCCATTGCTTTGCTTCATGTGATCCATAACCAGGTTCTAGCGCACGGCATACCTTTCGAATTGGTCACCGACTCACTCGTAGAACGCTTGACTAGTTCCGTTATTCACTCTAGCTTGTCCAAAGAACTGTCGGCACAAGTCAATCAACTATCGGCTATCGCAGCCTGTCATCAGGAGTTTCGTGAGTTGGTATCTGAGTTGTGTGACCTTTCTTCCACGGAATTCGAATCTTCTGGTCGACCCAGCATGAAATCCACGACCGATTGGTTAGATCCACGGCAACTTTCTTCGTCGGAACAATCGCGTTCCACGTATTGGGGAACTTCTCCGAATTCGACCGTGCTTGCAGAACGAATACTGATCAATCTAATCAGTCCTCCGAATGCATTGTTTACGGGCAGTCGGGGCTGGAACAAACGTTTGGCTTCGCATGTGCTTTTCAAGTTACTTCGTGATGAAGACTGTTGCCCTGCTTCTCATGAGACTACATCTCTACTACAAAATCAAGGTTCAGTTGGTACGTTTTCGTTCCCACCGTTCGTGTCATTAATGTTATCTTTCCCCCCTATCGCGGTCGAAAGTTGTTTTTATTTATCCATCTGGGTCCTTATCTTGAAAACTTTGCTTGAAGAACTCTCCCAGGCTTGTGTATTCGCTTGCCGTTTTTCCTAGCTTTCAGCATGAGAAACATTGTCAATTTCTGCACGATTTATGTTATTGGTCCATTTCTGCTTTGACCGGGAACATTTGATTTTTCCCTTTGGTCCCACACTATCTCAAGCCGTGTGTGACCTGTAGCCTATAATAAAATCTAGTCCCTGCTAGCCTGATTTAAACCGATTTTTTTAATCTCATCGTCGATTAGATCGGTTCTGTTTCTTCTACTTTACAATACAAGAGTTAGTTTCCAATTGGATGAAACTTAACAAACGGTTGATTGTAAAACGGGGAGTGTTGTGCTGACTTCAGTAGTATTTCGCAGTAGTTCATAATTGGTGGACGCCTTACTGCAAGTGCTTTTCAGAGTAAATGAACTTCTTTCCACCATTCACTGCTCTCTACTTTTGGGATTACTAGCAACATATCAATTTCAATCCATTTTCCGTAGGTTATCCTGATTTTTTTCCCTTTGTATTTCATGCTCAAGAGAGTTCCCGGCCAATGCCCCCGCTCTCTTTCGGACCGATGGTCTCTATTTGTTCCACTTCCAGTCAACGATTAGTTACTTGGCTTTGCCTACACGCTGACGGTGGACGGTCCGAACGCCTAGAACAGATATTGCTGTGGCTAAAGCGTCTTTGCGAACCGGGTTTATTGTCCAAGAAACTTCATCGTGCGCTACCAGTGGACTACGGGGCCGAATTGCTCTCGGTTTTGGCTGGAGTGTTTTGGCATATGGCTCACTCAACCGAAGAGGCGTGGCGCCATATCATTACAGACGATTTTGTCTGGTAGGTGAAAAACAAGAAACTCTAGGGGATTGGTGAAAGTTCCCTCTAAATTTGTTTTTATTGGAATTTTTACATATCTTGATTCTTCCTTTTTTCTAGTCTGGCGTTATACAAAAAGTTGGGAGTTATCTTTCTCACCAGTTTCATGTGTACTCAGTTTCGCCCGCCACTACTTGTGTCTGATCTAGGTATGTGACTCACAATGCCGCGATACTGGCATCGCCAACATATTTGTTGCACTTCGCAGCGAGATGATGAATCCTTCTCATTTTCCATCCACGTTCGGTGGTCGGGCTTTTCAGGCCAGTGTACCTATATTTATACCAGTGTTTATCTTTATCTAACTCACATGAATGTCACTTCACTGCGTTTTGCCTGTATACGTTTTTTTCATGATGGGTCGAACATTTATGCATGAAAGCTCTCGTTTGGGTTAAGTACACAACTCTCGCTCCTAGTCCTGGTTGCGCTTGCTGCCGCTCTCATCATGGCCATGTTACTATTCCTCCTTTACAGCATGGTGTACAACAAGGCTTTCGATCTGTTCCTACGAAGTCCCACTTTGCGTACGCCATCCTCGCGACTGGGGCTGAGAACTTTCGCGGAAGCACTGACTGGGTTGCTGTGTTCTTTGTGTGCAATTCAACCCAGTGCTCTCACCTGTATCTTGCGACAGTTCATCGAGGAACGATGCACGAATCCCCATGGAAACCCGGACGTACAAATCCATTTGCATCTTATAGCCACAATGGTTCGATCTGAACAAGCCATCAACCATCAGTTCATCTCCAGCCACAACGAAACCCACGGCTGTTCTTTGCCTGCTTGTTGTGAGTGGTTACGTGCACATTTGATCTCAGATAATGAAGCCTCATCTCTTCGTCCGTTACATGCACGTATGCAACTGCTGTCGCGCCTATTGCAGCCTGACCAACCGAATTTGCTGCGTCTGTATTTAGGTCGGATTGTCACTGACCGTGTTCTGCCCAGTCTCTTCCAGTATTTCACCCGTTTTCCTTCGATGAGCAGCCGGCTATCTGTGCGACAAAATTCAAGTATGCTACAGGCTCCGGACTACAAACAACTCTGCTTTGATGCTGTTCGACTCTGTCGGGCTTTAATGACTCCGCTAAATGCAGATTTTCTGTCCAACAATGCTACGGGCCACGCAGTCTCACCGCACATGTTTCAGCTTCAGCTTGCCTCGTTTCTCGCCCAAACTTTAGAACAGGTCCTCGATCGACGGGGTGAGTTGTTTTGCTTCACTTTGATGTTTAGATCATGGCGTTGTTTTTCTAAATCACTTGGCTTCATAACAGTTGCTGCACACTAAGCCGTAATGGGGCGGTCATAAAATGACAGTTAAGTTATGCAAGAAGAACCTTGATCGAACAGTGAATCAGCGCCCGAAATTGTGATATTTTTGTCACTTGCAGCGCACTGCCGAAAGTGATGCTGTTCCTGGCTTGGACAAGCAGATGAATGGACAGTTCTTTACTTGCAAAAGCTATATCAAAGGTGTCTCAACTGTCTATATTGTCAGTGTGCTTTACTCACTACACGACATGCGTGATCCCAGAGTCGTGGTAAATCTCCTCAAGACATGGTTGTTGATCCGTATTAGTAACACTGTTTTTGTATTGAAGTTGCTCTGTTGAGGATGTGAAAATGTGGGTGCCTGGGATTGTTCGTTCTAGGTTAGCACTAGGTTCTCTTCCACCTTCGTGTCATGCTTCCCCAATGTGGTCTTTGCTAGATAACTGGTGATTGCACGAGGTTCGATCATCGGTGTTTTGGTCTTAGTAAACCTGGCTTAATCGATTGAGGCAATCCTTTTGGAGCTTATTTTACTCGATGGGTTGCAAAGAGAAGTGACAATTTTGTCGCTAAAGGTCGCATATAGTTTATGCTAGATCGGCATATTTCACTTTTACGGGACATGCCTGAAACGATGATCGAACGAGTTCTGTAAGACCGTTCTGTCCTAACCCTTTTTGAGGGGATTCTCGATCCCAACGTCACACAGAGTCCGTTTGGCCTGTAATGAGCTCAAATGTTAGGGAAATCTATAGTGCTAAAAATTGGACAATGAGTACTTCAGTCGGTAAAATCCCCATCTGCATCGTGATTGTGCACATTGCTGATGCTTAACGGTGATATGGACCGTGTGTCCACCCTTTAGCATCGCTGGATTTTACTTCCTCACCACCACTAAAAGCTAATTATTCATCATGGTAAGAAAGCTCAACATGTGCTTAATAGTGTACTTTCACCGATGGTGCTTCCTTGAGCGTTTTGCGAAAAGTTATTGTAGCAAGCCACTGGTCATCCCCGCTAGTGGCATTATGCAGTTTTACATATTACGTCTCACACTTCATATGGTCGGATGTCAGTTAACAAATCATTTTTTACACGCTGGCTACTAAGACCGAAAGTGCGCCGCACTTTTCCACATCGAACTCTTTAGCACTGGATTTGAGTGTGTACAACATGGCCGCTGTCATTTCTGTAAGATGGTGCCTATCGTTGTGCGAGAGGCTACATTGGGCGTGTTGGAAGTGGAAACGGATCCGGTCGGACCGAGGATCGGGGCTGTGACTAAACAATTGGTCTCTCTTGCAGACTTTTTCTTACCCATGTCGCTCTAATGCACCTACCAGGGTCTAGTCCGATTTTGTGCACTCCCAGATTTTCCGATTTTGTCATACATGTCGTATAAGTGTAGCCTCATGGACCCTTTTGTCACACACGAAACTGGTGCACAATAGACACTTCCAGCTGTCAACATCCCCTTGGGATTGCTCGCCCCGTTACATGCTAGTAGATGAAAGGTCATGACGGAAACGAGATAATGACTCGGGTTGTGATGACCTGAAGATGGATGACTCTGCCAGTCATGATGCTCCGTGACTAAGCACACACGCACGTGAAGATGGATGACTCTGCCAGTCATGATGTGACTAAGCACACACGCACCCGAATGCTTACGATTCGGAAGCCAGCGGGCGAATGTTTCTACCAACCACCAGTCAGCTCTTGGGTCCTGCCAACTGATATACAGGCCCCAAATCAACTACGACCTATGATTTCTGAACGTTTTGCTGGACATGCCGTTATCATCAGTTGACACCAGTAGCCGAATCTATAGCCTGTTATAAAGTGCCATTGAAGAGCTTCAGAGGTGCTTGGTAAGCAGTCGGTTGATTTGTTTACCCAAATATTTTCTAGCAATTAATTGACGAACTGCATTTCGCATCCTTAGTGAATTTGCACACCGACTGATTGTGCCACCAATCAATCAGCACGTTTCTGCTTTGTACTTTACGTTACGAGGTCCGTTTGGGTGAAGGTAACAGTCACGAGATGCAATCGTCTTCGCAAATAGTCCCTCCCTCACTCTTTTTCTCTCCTTTTCACTCTAAGGCTTTGATTATAATTATGGTTTTATGGCAGTGAAACATCAGTGTCAATGTTGTTGTCTCTGCTCATTATAGGGGAAGCGTATTGTTTATTGGGGCCGTATATTTTAATGTAAAATTCCGCGTTTCTGTAATAATTTCGTCCAAGAGAAGAGTACTGCGCATCGGAGGCTACTATACTTGGGAGTAATATTCTATAAACTATGAGCAAATAGAGAATTGTGGGCCACTACCCATTGAGGAGTTCCGGCATATTCTTCGCACTTTTGCAGCTGGTTGCTCGGTAACTTCTTTGGATGTGATTAGGAATGTTTGATGGTCGAAATGATTATGTACAATCAGTATTGCACACTTACTGGAACAATTGTGAATACCCGTGTTATCGAGTTGTTCTCCTTTGTTGTTGTATTCCAGAAATTCATATCCCAGAATTCGCACAAAGCCTTTTGCTTGAATCACTGAGACCAACAACCGGCAGTAGGGCCATCGCCGTTTTCGCCGTGCGCGATCCGAACAATCCGTATGATCCTGCGCTCACACTGACTGGTCCCCCTTTAGCACCAAATAAACTGCCGCCGATTAAGGCACTTTCTGTCGGAGCTCTTTGTGCCTGGATTCGTCACTCAGCTCGAAACCTGGAATTTGATTGTTCTGTACATCCGAGTCTAGCTCAAGCGATCCTGTTGTTGAACACGTCGGATCCATGTGGAACTGGTGACTTTTCTAACAAGCGGATTCCGTTGGTTATCGCCCATTTACGATTGATGCTCTGTGCACTGCTGTACCCGTACGCTGCCATCCCATCTCGATTATCGTGTAATGCAAGTGCCAAGGATCTACCGGCGTTGTGTGGTTTCGAATTAGCTCTTGCGCGTAAGCCTCCATCCAATCCAGATAACACTTTCACAATATCTGATTGGCAGAGTGCCCATCCGCTCCCACTTGGGGCGGCTAGTGATCAGTGGAACCTGGATTGCATGGCCCATGTTGCGTACGGTCATATGCAAACTGGCTTCGAGCCAATTTCCCTGCTTATCAGACCTCGTGCCCATTGGGACGTCACCATAGAGGCGACAGTCAAGGAACCAGCTTGTTCAATCCATTTCAGTCCCATTCCAACCTTTTCCTCGATCTTGGTTGAGGCAGGTGTTTTGCAGCTGCTGTCAGAATGCGCAATGCGTCTACAACATGTTGATTCCGTGTTCGAATCAACGTATTTGACGGATGATTTACAAACCACAGAGTTGGACCGACAAAAATGCACCACCAAGGACTGCAAGACCGATGTTAATTCGGAAGGTTTGAAAAAATGGAAAAACTTTTTAGATTCCCGAAGTTCGGTCACCATATCTGAAACTTCTTGTCTGTCATTGTTAGATAATCTTTTAGAAGGAACTCATGCATCGAAGATCCGGCGTGGATTACCAACCAACGCTGAACAGCCTGGATCATCAATCATGCCTCTTCATTCTTTCCTCACCTACTTAGTCTTTCTGCGTTTACCAGGTTATGCCAAGTCGTTGGCAGAATTTACCGCCCAGTGTAACGAATTCACTGAACACGCGGACGATGCCAGCAGCGATGATCCCTCCGCAAACAGTCCAATATTGTGCGACCTTCTTGGTCGCATTCTTAGCCTTCCTCATTTTCCGGTGGGTTCTGGGGCGCTGACCTTAGAGCAGACAGTGCTGACTGGTGATTCGGCCGACCCTCGATTGGATGCAGTCCGCTCTACTTCTTTCGAAGCTCTTTGTTCTTATTACATGACTCTCCCGTCGTTATCGAACGATGAGATCGAGGCTATTGGATGGCAACATATACATGGGGGCGTTTTGGAACTTATTCTGAACTTTTTAGACTGTCTCTCACATGGCGACACCAAGCGCTCGACCGTGCCCTCTAACGAAAAATGTGCAAAAAATTCCCCGACTTCTTTGACAGTCATCCCGTTCCGTCACAGACATATTATTCAAACAGCGAAAGTTGATTTCGAACGTGAGTTGACAGCAAGCACTAGACAAGCTATTCAAAAACCAACTTCAGCATACTCCGGCGATGTAACTACTACAAGTAAGCCTTCCCCTGAATCCAATGCAGTGGCTTGGGCCAAGGGAACCGGTTTCTCAACTGGAAGCTGCGCCAGCGCTTGGAGTGCAGAGGCACTACGGATAAAAAGTGCTCGTGAGACGGGGTATGCGACCCTGTTCTTCGATACGTTGTCCGCGTTTTTGTTCATTTTTACTACGCGCTTATCTGGTCCTCTGGTTCAGACAATTGCTCTTCAACTAAAGCAGTCTAGCTTGTTGCTACTTCTGACAAATTACCTACGGAATGACTCTGCCTTGGACTTGGCCAATCAAGTGCCCCTATATCGTTCGGTGTTCCGACTCATTCGGGTGATTGCTTACTCTCCGCAGCTTCATTGGATCTTCTCCAGTACAGCGTCCACTGTGGGTGCACAACAAGAACAGATAGTTCACGAAGCATTAGCGGCCACAAATGTGTGGCTCTCAAACCCAACTTCAATGTTATCACAGTTAGATGCCTTGGAATCGGCACCACCGTTGCCGGGAAATTTGGATCGCTCTTGCCCTGCTCAGCTGCTCCAAGCTCTACAATCGTACATGATAAATTATGAAGAGCATCTAAGGTCAGTTTTTTATATTTTAATGTCACTGATTTTCTTGCTCTGTATTGGCCTGTATTGACTGTTCACGTGCCCTCATGATCTAGTTACTCTGCACACACTCTATCTTCCTCCTTAAGAAGTTTTCGAACACAAGTAACTTTTTACCTCCCATTTTTTAAGTTCGGTTTCTCTATGGTATCGGTCCTTTGGTAACCAGGTGGTCACATACATCTGAACAGCTCGATTCATGGAGTACCTGTCCGAATCGTCTGAACACCAGCGAACAGAACACACAAAACTTGAGCTGAAAATAATGACTCTTCTGAACGAGTTAGCCCAAGCGGTTAGACCGCGAATTTACTGACCGGAATGTTCGCGGTTCGAACCCGACCTCTGCCTCTCGACTTCCCCTGCCTAGGTTTGGGCAACCTGGCAGTATTCCAGTCTTCGTGCCACCTTCGGGTGGCTGACACCGAAAGGGTGCTACAGCTGAACTACTGAACACTAAAGTTAAATTACCTCCTACTCCAGACTGTTGTAAGACGTGATGCTGCATATTGCGGTCCAGTGTTTCAGAACCCAGATTGTCACTGTCTCTTGGACTACGCATATTCCGTATCGTCAGACTTATTGGGCGACCCGACCGTGTAAAAACCCTCTACCACCGTTAGGTCTATCGATCATCCGCGCGTCGTGCTGGCATTGATGAACCTATTCAATTCACAAAGAAGGATCTTTTGCAGTTCAGAAAATAAGCCTCACTTAAACGATACCCAACCGGCTCTTTTGCGTGACAACGTTGCATGATTTTCAGTTTTCCATCCGCGGGTTTTCGGGTTATTTTTGATCCAATGTTCCCGTCCCACTTTTGTTGTATCCTGAGAAACCGTGTGGGTCTTCAGCACAATTTTATGACTTTTAGCCAGGTTTGCCTATTCATTTATCGATCCTTTATTAATGTCTGAACGCAATCGACCAAGCGTAAATATCACCTCTCCATTCAGATGCAAAAACTCCGAACATCATGACTGGATCTAATACTAATCGATTGTCCACCGGACCTTCCACGAAACTCGAGAACATTAACTTAGGCGTGACCGTGCGAATGAAATTTATCTAAGTAATCATTTTATTTCCTCTGCCTATTTGTCCGCTACTCTACATATAAATCAGAGGAGAACTAGTTAACAGTGAGTCCACATTCACTCGAATGGAGGTTAACAAACAGCATTTCGACCGTATTGGGTAGATTTTCAGAAAACAATTTACAATGTCCCTCTCATGCTTGCGACCGGTACGCCCACCTATCTGGTGACAGTACATGATTGTAGTTTAGAAACCTGCTATTTTACACTCGTTTTTCGGATTTGTTGGATCCTAGAGAAATTTACTTAGGTGTTCGTGTCCCTACCCATCATAATACTCATAGGAGCTGCACTACGTTCTGTTTTGAAGTTGGGTGCAGCTGGTTTATACTCTTGCGGTAATTGTTCTCTTTTTTCGATCGCTCGGCCGGGGTCGACCTCACATGAAATCCCAAAAATGCTGTGTACGGACACATCCGTGATGTTAACTACATCCAATGAGCCGTCTTTTTCTTTTAGCACGAGGTTGTCAACCAAGTAGCCCCGATCTCATCTACACATACTTGCTAAGTCCTAATACGACCTCGCGTGACTGAGCGTTTCGAAAACCGATCACATCCTTGCCCGACTAGTGTTCCTTGCTTCTGTTGGCGAGCTCAGCTCCTTTGTGAATATGTGCTTGCGCAACGACATGCTGTTTATGGACGCTTTCAGATAGAGAATTAAGCGTTCCGTGGTATTCCTTTCAGAAATCCAACCTGTTAGCTGTCCTTACTTCAAGTGCTGACAACTGTCACCATTTGGAGAACGGTGCTAGGCAGTCTGCACCAGATTAAGTTTGCCGTAAAATCTGAAAACCATTTTTCAGAACGACGTCACTTTTGGGTTTTCCCTAANTCAGCACGCCGACTATCAGTCAGACTTAACTCGGTTTTCATTCATATTTAATCAAATGCCCGTTGCCACCCAAGTAGAGCATTAGCTTGACAGAGACTCGGGAGGTACGCCTACGTGGTGATCCCCAAAAAGAACGAACAGTTCTCGGTAATCTTATGAGTGCTGTTCTCCCAAGGAACTGGGTCAATTTCACGATGCATCTCGATTTGGCGTCATCATAATAGAGTTGACGCTGATGCTTCACCGCCGTACAACCACACGGTTTACTTAATAGTACCCAAAGCCTTAGGGTGATCAACTCCTTTCTGGTTGCTTGCAACCAAGACAGATGAGTCTTTCGTAATTTGGTTCCGTGAATTAGGTCCCTGTTTTTTTTACTTATCTATGAGTGCAAAGAGCAATGAAGCTCACTAACTTCTGCTTAATATTCTTTGCCTTTCAATCAGGAAATTGGGATTCCCTAGCAGACATGTTGAATCCGGTGTGTCAGCTTTTGCACGGCTTCCTCCACGACATCCAATGTCTAATACAAATCAAGCGAAACGTCGTTCCGGTTTGGTTCGTCAGCATTCGATACGCTATCGAAACTCCCGGCGACAATTGTTCAAAGAAGTTGCCAAAGCGAGTTCAGCAACAAAAGTACCTACTAGGATTGGATCTACCCTTGCTAGCGCCTGTGATACTCATTTGGAACGTCGGTTGTCCGAACAGCATCCGCCAGCACAGTTAGCCGAGCCGGAAACATTGGAAGCTGGTGTTGATCCGTTTGATTTGATCCAGTGGAAGAAACAGTCCGTACCGTTGGGTTTGTTGCAGCCCAATAGCGGGTTTTTGGACGCACACTGGGACGAACAGTCACCCATGGCCGAAAGTGTTGGTGAACCAGTTGATACAGAATCACATTCAGTTGAGGCGAAATCCGTGCAAGTCGTAGGACGTGCGGATGTGAGTTCATTTGCTGGAACTGATGAAGTCCAGCATGGTGAACTTGAAGAGTCCATGGAAGCTCTTGATGAATTACTCCCGATCCCCACACAAACTATTCCTTTCGCTGATGAGATGTTTGAGCCAACACCAGAAAAGGAAACCAGTGAAGAAGCAACGGACACGGTAGCTCCACTGCCTGGCCGGAGCGGAACAGACTCACACACAACCAGTAGTTTTGCGGGGGAAGATTTTCACATCCTCATCAGCGAACTGCAGACCACCTTGTGTCTAGTGCAGTTTTCAGTGTGGACGCTACACGCAGCTCGATCGCTTGTCGCCTTCGAGAATGAAGCCACATCGGATTCTACCTTGCGACACCTACCCACAACAGCACCTCCTGGTATGTCTGGTACGCAGAAGCTAGAAACAGCATCTGAACATAATGCTTATTTGGATACCCTGAAGCCACTCCAGTTCCGTAAGTCTACCCTAAACCGTGATCTCTCGTTTCTCGTCTGCATTACTCAGTTCTGTTGCACCAAAAGTCGCTTCATCAATGAATACGTACTGGTGCACTTTTGAGTCTGAAAGGCATACCATTTCCCTGACGCACGTTTCTGTTGCAGGTCGGGCGAATTGTCCGAAACGTTCCTTGCTGGATATAAGAGAGTCATTGTTGTCCTTATTGGTTTCACTGAGAAGACACTTCCGGATCCGCCCGGTGGAACAACCTTAAACATTTTTATTCGATTTCCTTGACTTTCGTATCCACCTTTCTTCCAGGTCAGCACACACAGTGTTTCACCCTTTATCGGATGGTACCTCGATTCGAACTGTGGTTGCGACCGGAGCGACTCTGCTCCTGGGCCTCCAGCACAGCTTCAGTCTTGTCGGTGGATAGATAGGCATCGAGCAAGACAACTTTGATACATTAGTACAGTTCTGTGGTTCGTGAGTTCGAGTGGTCAAACGAAGTGTGCGTATTTCGAGCCAACCTGAAAAACGTCAACAGACACATACGTTATCAAAGTTCACACAAGTATTCCTGAAGAAGTGACGAGCGGCGATTCATTGCCGTTGTAACGGATGGTAATGTGATCTATTTGGACTACTGGACTACTGTAATGTCTATTGGGTCTAGACAAAAAGAGGATTAGAGCCTCAATCAAAGCCTGGCGGTAAGGTAGCGGATGGATGCTTGCATACAATTACAGTCGCATAGGTTCTTAAGGAACAAATGTATGCCTCAGCTCTCAAACCTTGAGGACGACACTTTTCGTCATACCCTTATTCATTGACTAAGTTAGCATTAGGAGCTCCCTGTATGAAAGTAAACCCTCCCGCAGTGTAGCTCAATGAGCCGTAGAGATACACAAGTCCTTCGACCACTATAAGGTTCAATCTCAACCAACATTCACTAGATGGATGAATTTTGAAATCCAGTGTGAACTCTCTTACTGGATTTATTTCTCTATGTTTATCGAATGTTTCATTGTTCGTCCATTCCCTACTTCTGTTTGAAGGCATGATAGAAATGTTATCGGACCCTGTTGACAGACAGGTCAAGGCCTTGATACCCCACCAATTTCTTGGCACGATTGCCGAAATCGAGGGCCTCAACGTCGAAACTGAGCAGAACACACCGTTCTCCTTACCCACCCAACCGCACTCGTCCAATCAGCAACCGAAACAGCCTATCCACCAACCGACTCGCGACCATGATCCACGTAGCCTAACTCGAGCTCGCCGCCTTGCACAAGAAATTATTACACTCAGTACAGGCTTACCGTTGTCCGAAGAGAGTAGTGTATTTGTGCGAGCCGACGAAAATCACGTGTGCATGCTCAAGGTCAGTATTTCGCGTTCTTTCTGTATTTTCCATTCTACATAGTCTGAAGTGCCACCAAGTCTAGTCCCAGCTTGTTCTTTCTCTTGTCTTTTTTCGTCCTAACACTTGATATGCGTCGTATACTGTGAAAGTACGAAGGTTGTCCAACTATCGTTTTCGAAAAAGCTTGGTGACAATCAGTAGATTTATTGCTGAGCAACGTTTCGCTTTTGACACAAAAGCTTCGTCAGGCCAAGTGACTAGGTTCCGAGGTTGGTGGAGATTTAAGGTGGAAGGAGAACCAATCAGGCAAGTCAAGCTGAATCTCTGTTGGGTGCCGGCCGAGGAATTTTTGTGTGTTGGAGTGGTTGAACAAGTGTTGGGCCGGTTGGGAAACCTACATGTGTTTGGGTCCAGCCTAGGGTCTAGTTCTTCTGGTTCGGTTCATTTGATGGTCCTTCTTGAACGTCGTTTGAACCTTCTGTCCGTCTGTGTAAATGAGTTAGCGCTAAGATGGTTGTGTATGAGGGATACTGTGACCTTTGGTCGGGTTGGGATTTCCACCCCCCACCCCCCGGTTTTTTCCTAATAATTCTCCTTGGATTGATAACCACACCGTCACGTGTCAACTCGGCTTATTTAAGACCGCTTTCCATACGCTCGCCGGTTCCACACCCTCGATTCTATTCACGCTGTGATGCTTAATAATTTCCACCTCCTGGGCTATCAGCCACTGTGGTGTGAATCGCAGTCCCGGTCTTGAAACTTTCACATTCTCCAGATCTATTCTGTCCCGTGTCTAAGACACGTACCGCCATCGCTGAGTCTTTGACCAGCGTTTGGTATTCTTCTGCATTCCTTGGTGGTTTTTTTATCCTTCTTTTATGCTCACCAATTCTGGTGTGCAATTCCCTGGCAGTTTGTCCTATGTAAACCTTAGCGCAGTTGCAGTTGATCTTATACACGCAGCCCCTAGTCCTTTCAACCGGCAAGGGATCTTTCAAGTGCACCAAAACTGAGCGTAGCGTTTTTTCCATTCTCAAAAGCTACTCCACTCAGCGGCTCGACGTTGCCCAGCAGTAAATCTACCGATTGTCATCAAACTTCGAAAACGATGACTACCCAATCGGTTCCAAGTATTTTTCACGTGATTGTCCAACTATATTCGTCTTGATGGAGCCTCTGGTTTTGGCTATTCAATTTATTAAGAAAAACTCCCTTCCTGTACTACGCTTTACTTATTACTTGAAATGGATTACATCCATGGCTGCTCATACCTGTCGCCGTCGTCAGTGGTCACTCCTGTTCAACACCGAATCATATCCTTCAGTGCGCTCGTGTCAGGGGGTTCATCGGGTGACGATATCCCTGTCTGGTTCCCTGAGCATGCTGTCGATATCCTCTAAGTTGTGAGGGAAATTACATCGCAATTTGAAGGAATAATGAACACCAGTATAGCGGATCTGAGTGACCATCAATCATGTCGTCACTCCAAAAATATACATTTTTGTGGCCACTCTGCACTTCCTGTAGAATTGAACCGGGGCAGCCCAATGGGCAAAACCTCCAACTTGCTTTTCTACAATTTCGATTAGAATAGGCTTATGGCTGCCTAAGAGTTTGTACGTGTTCACTTTTCAACAAAATTCTTGAGAGATGATTTACTCTATTTTGGTTTCATCCGGCAATTTGTCAGTGCTCCTTGTGAAGTCCTATCAAGCTCATCTGCCTTTTTTTGCTTCCCTTTAGTTCTGCAGCCAGTCACTATTGCAAAAGGAACTTTGTGTTCTCATTAGCAGATGAAATCCTCATCCCAATGTTGTCTGGTTATCTTACTCATATTCGTCCCTCTTCCCATTCTAGACTCTTATCACCGGTCCACCAGATACTCCGTACGAGAACGGCTGTTTTGTATTCGACATTTGCATTCCCGCTCAATATCCTAGCTCCCCACCTTTGTTTTGCCTATTGACAACCGGAAAGAACACGGTACGTTTCAATCCCAACCTATATGCGGACGGCCATGTGTGTCTGTCTATTCTGAACACTTGGCAAGGAAGACCAGAGGAACGTTGGGACCCAAAAACGTCTAATTTACTTCAAGTGGGTCAAATTCGCTTCCCCGTTTGTCTTTGTGTGCGCACTATATCGTGACCTAACTCCATACTATAGAATGATGAAAGAACTTCCCAAACTGGCTACAACCGTAGATCGGCTTACCCATGCAGGTAGTTAGCTAACGCTCATTTGTTTCGCAAACGGATCTCAATACTTGAAACCCTGTACATACGCCTGATAATACACTGGAACAGCCTCTTCTGAATTGTTGAGTAGGTCGAATTGGTTGGATGTTAGTCGATAATATACATACTTAGGGTAACTGTCATCTGAGCACTTTTTCCTCTTGACATTCCACTGAAAGGAAGAAGGCCTTCGCTGCAGAGTTATTTATTGAAAAACACCAACTGAACAGCTACAGACTAGGACAGGAAAGCAAAACCTCTATATGCATCTTGTTTACAAAACCAAATATCCGTCTTTATCTTGAACGTGTCTTCCTGAACTTTCCTGGATATTCATTGAATATCAGTCAAACGTAAACGAGCGCTACAAAGCAATTCCACAAATTGCATGATAAATCCCACTTTCTAATAGATGCAAACCGGAGTTACCTGAAAACATATTACTCGCATGCCTCATCAGTAGCGTCCACCGTTACACCACTACTTATAAGGCTTGGATAAAACTCCCCGGCAACCCACTACCATCTTCATTCTTGCAACTCATCAGTTGGGTATAGTAGCCCATTTTATAATCTTTGACATCAAATTATACACTCAAACACACTTATTCGCACATTTATTTGAGGAATATCATGAACGAAAGTTTGAGTTAGGATTCAGTTGAGTCTCCTTTTAACGCCAACTTAATTTGTAAATGTTGTATCTCGCCACCCTTTCCTCTTGTTTTTTTTTTCATCTTTTCGAGTCACACAGGGTGTTTTCACAAAAAGGAATTTGGCCTTTATGTAAACAATACCCTAGGTCCGATTTCGTCTAGTATTTTTTAGAGTGGACTACTTGAAAGAGTAGCGCTGAATTTCAACCACCCAACACTATGCCGAAATCACTAGGTTACTGTGCTGAGGTAGTGACTTTTGTAATGAATTCCATAACATGTGGTTTTCAAGTTAGTTGGTGCACAACTCGTGATTGGACCAGATGGTCTCACCCTTTTTTGTCGCGAATTCAATTCGAGCGTTGAGCATCCTCACCTTATACGCTTCTGATTAGTTCGTTGCAAGCTGTTTCTCTTTGTGTTAGGTTCTGATCCTTTTAGTGAGAGTTTTCTAGTTTCCCATTCCGTTAATTTACAAGTCTTCAGTGCGTGTGGCACCGATTGCCAGTTCGCCGCCTTGCTTGTACAGTCTTGCATTCAGGTATTCAAGTGTGAGAACTGGTAACCACCTTATGGTGCTACGGACCGGAAGGTGCATGGTTCGAACCCAACCTCAACATCTCGATTGCTCCTGTCTATACTTTGGCACCCTGGCAGTATTCCAGCCCTCGTACTTTCTTCCGAGGGCACCGAAAGGGTGCTGCAGGTGAACGAATGTGAACTGCCTGTACAGTGCACAGAGAAGTCACCAAGGCTAACAGAATTGGTACAGAAAAGCCGAAAGTAAAACGCGATGTAGCGTGCCTATGGAGTTAAGATAATACGGTTCTCTGGCGGTGATTGCTGTAACTACTCATGCCCGATTAAGTCCAATATAATCAGGTTGTGGGTACAAATTTTTTGTTGGTTCTCTGGTGGTTGTCCGAACAAGGAAAATGGCATGGTCGGATGCTTTCGTGTTACTACTCCAAGCTACCCTGTATTCACATTCACCCGCTCACGGCCCATTGGTTCGGAACAGCCCTTTGATTTACTGATTGTCTTAATATATGGTGATTCCTATTGCCGTTTGATCTGTTCTTATCTGAAAGGGGATTTCTCACGCCGTACACACGAAAACCGTTACACCTGAGGGTGCATACGTAGGGGCACCTGAGTTGAATCTCACCCCAATCTTTCTCGACATATTGGAAGTAGGCTAGTTGTGTTTGTCTATCTTTATTCCATAGGAAAATGACAGGCAAAGACAAAAAATCGATCCGGATGGTATCACTTCACTGGAAATGACTGGGTGAACTTGAACTGCCGTTCTCCAAGCCCCTCACATTAGTACCCACTATGACATCAGCTTGCCTAAATGTGATAATCCACTTGACTGGTATGATGAAGCAGACGGTTTCGCACACACGAGGGAGAGAGAGCAGTGGGGACTGGATTTAGTCAGTATCGCTAATTGTAGAGTTATGAGCTATCCTGACTAACGTCGGTTGGTTAGACAGTTCGAGCAGTCATCAGAGTGCCCAAAAACAATGCGCACATTATGAACAAGGAAGGAACATAAAAGTAGTAATGGTAAGACAAAAGACGAATTTGGAATCATTAGTGCATCGGCTCTGTACTAACTACGTCACTAATCATAACTTCAGAAGTAAAAAAGAAGTGGGTACCTCATACATGACCTTTTTTCACGAACGAAGATGTTGTGTATTAGAAGGGGTGAGCGCCTGATGGAAACCCGGTCCACAGTACAAATAATCAAGGCACAGAAGTACTAGACCGAAAAGCTGTCTTCAGTTTCAACTGGGCATTTCTTTGCACACACCACAGACCCAGTTGTTTTTAAAAAAGCCTAATATCCCAACCGAGGGACTCAGGTCGATATTACGTTAGACTTCAATGAGTCAGAGTCTTTGACTCGAACGTGGATTCTAAATGCACTGGCATTACTTTTTGCGTTCATCAGTTTCCCCTGTCATCTGGAACTTACTATCCAAGGGACATGATGTGAGTGTTTAGCAATGAATATGTTTACTTGTGGTTGGTAAATATAACTAGAAGAGAGAATTTATCATCAGTTTGCAATATCTTCTTCAGAACAACCAATAACTGCTGATGTATTCGACTCATTTTGTCGTCTGGTGTAAGTGTGAGCATTAGCCAAGGCTCTCACATGCCATTATTCGAAATTCCTCATTTCGTCTGTCGTGATTATTTTTACTCATCATTAAGGAATTCAGATGATCACGCCATGTACTGCTTGAGAAAAATCTGACAACTTTCTTGTTCTGTTAAACAAGGAGAAATGGTACGAAGGTGACGGGAGTTACGCATCTATTTTACAAACCATAATGTTGAGATCGTACAATCCTACTGGATATTCAACAGCTGTGCTGAAGCAGCTTAACCAGGCCTTCAATCCCACCAAGTTGACACCGCTGCACGCAAGTTTCAATGGATCTTATTGACACTGACAAATCCATTATCTCAATGTTATTGTCAGTTGGGCGAGATTAGAGTGTGAGATTTGCTCGTGCAGCACCGGTAATGACAAGGTTTCGGAAAACGTAACAATTTCTGAGCACCCAATTATCAGTCAGTTCTGTTGTTGTCCGTCTTTCCAGGATGACTAGAGTGCAGTCTGAGGACGATATTGAACTTGGCTGATCAGTGTCACAACAACTTCAAGTTTTGGAACATCTCATCTGAATGGTTTATTGACTCCGTGTGACATTTAAGTTATTTCTCAATCAATCATCCGTCAACATAATTGGTTTCCATGACTTCCACTACTCCGCAAGTCAAAGTCATCATTATAATTAAGCGTCCTCAGTCAGTCGGTACAATGGGTTATATGTAAGCCTAGATTAGTTATTTCGGCACGTATTTCGTCGTCAAAACTTTTGTACCCTTCAACGGTTTCTTTTCGGATAACTTGATCTCTTAGATGCTATCTAGTCGCTCTTCCCTGTAGTCTTGTCACACAAGCTACCGCAGCACCAACTCTCCAGTTAGAGATGAGTCTAACAAGCACTGTTTGGTTTCAACAGGATGGGACGCCACCACAATATGGCCATGTTGTACTGAAGTATCTGAGTGAGGCACACGGAAATAGGTATATCAACCAAGAAGGACCGTTTCACTGATTGTCCATGTCGCCGCACATAGGTATCTGAACTTTTTTCCAAGGGTTAATTAAGGCAAACAAACTCATTTGCATATCAAATTGGTTTTCGCGGAAGACTCAACTGAATTCCTCGTTTATGATCCTCTTCAACTGAATGCGCTAAACAAAGGTCGCCTCGTTTCCGTTGGTATGATATTCGAGATATCACAATATACTTTCACCAAGCAAACTACTGACACGGTTGCTGAAAACTCCTCGACAGTCCACGAATGGTCTCGCCCTACTTGAAGCCCATCAAGTAAGCGCTGACCCTTTTACTTGAACCGAAATTTTGACGAATTTCGCCAAATACTCTTATCCGCATATTAATATGGTTTTCGTGGGAGGCTGAACTGAATCCAGCTGAATTTTTTTTACTAATCTCGCTTTTCAACTGAATGTGTTGCACAAGTAGAACATAAACGGACAGGAACTCAGGAAATACGTCTACCTGATGGTCCTCAAGAAAGGCGAAACCAGTTTTGGGTTTCGAACAGTCTTCTGCAATCTTATGAGTAGTGTATTACGTCTAGATATTATTTCATATTATTTCCCTTCGTCATCTAATCCGCACTTCATTTCAGGTACTGGTCTCCATCCAGTCACTTATTTTCGTTTCGGAGCCCTATTTTAACGAACCTGGTTATGAATGCAACTATGGTACTCCGCTTGGCCAACGCGAAAGTCAACGATATAATTTGAACATTCGTGCTGCCACTTTGAGGTGGGCTATGTTGGATCAGCTGTGCAATCCCCCTGCCGGTTTCGAAGAGGTGCGCGAAGTTTGTTTTGCTTTTAACCATGGTGTGGTTGTGTTATGTGTTTGCCAAATGTATTCATGTATGGGCTATTCGTTTACTGAAATAACAATTGAAGATAATTTTCGCTAATGTAACTTTTGTGCATTCTTAATTGATTGTTAATGTACACTCACTGCTTGAACGCTCCCTTCAATTTTTTCACGGGGATCTTCAGGATACTACAGTCGACCCAAACAAAGGAGTAGTTTTAGAATTGGAGTTTTTGGAGCAAAGCGGTATCTATTTTCAGAGTTTTGTTTGAGAGGGTCAAATAGTTAAAGTAAGTCACTGCGGAACATGGTTCGGCCTCCTTGGGAAGAGTCTCTTATATTTAGCATTCGTTGCTGGTCAGTTAAGCTTCGATATTCGTAAAGATTGCTTTAGCATAAACAGGTCGACATGTGCCAGAGGATGATTATTGCCTCGACAGCAGCAAACATTTGAGTTCATGTAAGCTTCGGATGATGAGCTGAAACTCAAATTTCATCAACGTACACCATGTATTCACCTTTGAAATCCTGTGTAGCGGCGCTTCACCGTTTTTGTCATTGCTTTCGGGTTTCCAAAAACCAACACTAGGTGAGCCCGTTTGCCAATCTATTGCTTTGATAGAGAGTTTTGTCGTTACTCTGTCTCACAGTGGCTTTGGAAAGTAATCTACTCTATTCATCCATACTTTCTCGGAATTGCGTTTCAGGTAGTCTACAACCACTTCAAACTGAAGCGTGAAGCTATTCTTGTTCAACTTGAACGTTGGGTAGCGGAATGTACTCAGGGAACCAGCTCGACTTCGAAAGAACATCAGAAGCGGATGGCTGTAGGTTTTTTACTTTGATCACTTTTGTTCCATCCACTTGTTTCCATCTTGGTTCCGACTTGTTCTCTTTAGTACTTGTTAGTTTCGTTTGCGTTCGTTTATTGCACTTATTCTGTGCAAAAAATACATATCATACATGTTAACTGGAGTTAATGAATCTGAAAGCCATTCAAACGTTTACAGGCCAACGGGCAGTCCTATGGCCGGGCATATTCTTCTCAAAGGATTCTCCCATTCTGTTTTAGCTGAGTACTGCCTAATCTTCAGTCAGAATGCTTTTGCCCCTTTGGTCGATTGCAACTCGTAACCGGTCGCACATCATAACTCGCCCTCCTACTTTCAATATCCGTGTTGCAACAGTGGTACGTATTCTGTTGCATCGACATGACCAGTCCGCATAATGGTGATCATATTCCGGCCTCTGGGCCATCACACGGACCTTGTTTAAGCTACCTAGCCTGGCTTGAATAAAGACCACAAAAGTTGCTGTGCTGTAATATATCGGCCGCAATAATCGCTAAATATTGCACAATTGCACACCCCACTTCTATGGACTCAGTGTTTCTTATGCTTACTGTAACAGCCTGACACGTTCGTGACTGTTGTCCTACTAAACTATAGGTCAACTCATTTTAAACCATGTCTAAAAGAGTCTACTGGTGTCGCACTACAGTGTGGCGACATCAGAGCAGGAGTGTCGACGCAAAAAGGATCACAAAATATCGTACACGTTGACTGCTGTTCTTCACTATTTATTATCCAATCTTGACTAATTTTACCTGGTCCATCGTCACATTCGCTTTCTTCGACTACGTAATCGAAGAGAAGTCCGATTATTCGAATGAGTTATCCTCTTTTCTCACGTCTACAATGTGGAGCTCAACAGTTCGAATTCATGAAACATCACAGTCTTTCTGATCGGTTCCAGGGTTTTTCTGCCTTACTGAGATGCACTGATTCTTCCCCCGACAAAACGTCCAAGAAACGGACAAAAATCGATTTCATTCTGGCGGAAAAATGCCTTCTGTACCGTGAATAAATTGACTACCCCACTGTTCGGTCTTTTCGGTACCTGAGTCCTTAATCGGTGTTTGGATCACCCTAGAAGCCTGATGTGGCCGAAATCTGGTTCATCTCTTCCATTCGCACGGAATTTTACAAAGTGGGAACCGGTGAAATGACTGTTGGACTGTTACCTAGACACAACGCACTACTCTTAAGGTGGTTACTGGACACTCAGTAAAGTCGGAATTTTACAAAGTGGGAACCGGTGAAATGACTGTTGGACTGTTACCTAGACACAACGCACTACTCTTAAGGTGGTTACTGGACACTTCAGTAAAGTCAAAACCAAATTGGTGTGCAAATTAGAGTATGTATCGAAATGCTGAGCTGCTGGATACTTCGAAGTGTCACCAGAAAAATAGTACCTTTACAGTTCGCCCAATAAATACATGTTGGTTGTTCACGATTGTAGTGGACATGAGGATCGTCGCTTGTTCCCTCGATTATCGGAGCGCATATCGCTGGAGGCCTACTATGATCCAGTCCCGTTGTACGGGTTTTACTTGTAAATTATGGACCTTCGAGCGCCATGCTCTTCGATCAACCGTTCGAGCCTACTACGCTGTGTTTTGTCCTTGGCCGCCCAACGGCACATGACCATTTAAGGTCGTATCGCAGTGTGAAACGAATAACGGCCATCGTAGCGTCAAGGTTGAAAGTATCCTGGTTGCAGGTGTTCAAACTGCCCCCTTAATGACCTGATGAGGAATAACTGCAGTGGCTATTGGTTTATCATGGGTATTCACAGCCGTAGCCGGTGGCCATGCGTGTTCCAATGAATGACAACCCGGCGCTGCATGACACTGGAAGATAAACGTTCAAGACCATTTCTGTTTCATCCAGACGTCTGTACGGAATTTAGATATACAAGCCCAGTCTGTGTGATTTCTTGGAGGATCAACAAATATTGGTTCCTAGCTCAAGGACGTAGATGGCCAAATTTTACTGTGTATCATACTTGTTGCGTGTTCTGCCACTACATGACCCGAAATGGGAAAGTTCGGCTAGGCGCACAGTGCGAAATGTCGTGGTAAGCTAGATTCTAATGATCGATGAACGCATGTAATCGACACACTGGTGTGTTTTACGGCCCGTACCCTGTATCACAGTCTGTCTGGCGCAAAGTCAAACTTTCAGTAAAGCAGGAAACTGAACGATCAGTACATGTTGATGGCCGCGTAAGAACGTACGACCCGCTTTCGTGTGCATATCGACGATGAGCAGCCTATGTGGATTTGATGCATTTGATCCAAACAAGATCTCATTATACAGTGTTATATATATAACAATATTACATACAATATATATATGCGTTGGAATGCATGATTTTGAGCTCTGCCGAGCGGTATGTCAAGTTTCGCAACTTTATATCCACGTGGAGTTACCGGCAGTTCCTGACGAGTTAATCTTGCTATCAAACAGGGATGTAGTAGCGTATTTTATCCTCTGGTAAATAAAACTAACGATGTGGCGCTCGAAATTAATAGTTGCCCGTGGTTGATTTTGATCGTCATAAAAATCCAATGAAAAACAACCTAAATATAAGGTTTTAAGTTGAAGGTAAGAAGCTAGTCATCTTAACTTCTTACCTACACGCTCGATACTCATCGCAGTGATCCGGGTGAATGATACTCTGTATTCAAATATTAAACAATCTTCTGCCTGTATTCAGAACAGCCGATTCGGATTTCAAGTAACAACCCATCAGCAGTATGTGAATATCTGTCTATGTGAAATGAACACCTCTCTAACATCTGTTTTGTTGCTCTGTTGGATTAATTAGGAAATTAAGCGTGCTGTCTCGGTAGCTTGTTCTGTCTGGGTGTTTGGTCGACTAAAAATACACACCGCGGATAGTTTTACACTGGGTGGTTGGCAGCTACGTATCCTGTTCAGTCGAATTATCAATTTGTCCCCCTTGAGTCTCCGTGTTTTATGCTGGCGACTGATGAAAACAAACGAATCTCCAGCTGTTCTCTCATTTTTTTCAAACGAAGGTTCTGGACTATTTGGCTACCGTCAGGCCGCTTTTCCTAGCCAGAAGCGAACCATGGTCGGCAGATCTTGAATGGACTGACGCACAGACTTACAGATTTATTTTTGAAAAATTTGCGTAACCTTGCAGGCAATAAAAGATATGAATATGCATTTCCCACACAGTGACTATATCTCTACAGAGCATGCCAGTTTTTGCATCCAAATTTCGGGGAAATTCCAAAGTGAACAATGTCGCGGAGTTGGCAAACAAAACGGGTCTGAAAACTTTGTGCGCTGCTACTGACATCAACAAACGAACGCGCACTTCCTATTCCAAAAGCCCATAAAATCTATACAAGGACAGTCGATTGGACAACCTGTTGATTTCCACAACCAGAGGTAGCTCACTAATTAAGACCGGCATCTAGACTGCCCCCCATCTAGGTTACGGCAACCCAACTGTATCTCAACCCTTATGCTTCCTTCGGGTGGCAAGCAGCTGTGAAATTAAAGGATGTTGCAGTTAAACGATTATTATTTTTTGTATTATAATCGGAATGTTCTGTACTCACTGGTCCACCCGATTACTAATCAGCGGACCCAAGGATTAATCAGGGGTATCTCACTTAAACTGAAGCACGTTTCACTTTTGTTCACAAAGGGGGAGCTTTTAGCATACTGGACCCATTATCCCATTTTTGCTTACGTTTAACAAGTCATTGAATCTAAAACAAAATGTTTTCTCTCAAGTTTTTCAATCAAATTTATCATTCTACAGTTTTGTCTTCCTTTTTCACCCAATAAAATCTGTTTTCACCAGATACTACTGTAAATCCCCCTTTTACAGGATTGCCTTGCGGCTCTGAAACAACAGTTCTCTCGATTGGATGTCGACTTCGATGATTGGAAGGCCAAATAATACCCAGTGACCTCTTGCCCAACAGTTCACCGGATCTTTTTATTCAGCACTTATTTTCCACTCTCTCCATCACACCCTTCAACCTCATTCAGTCCCGCTTGGTTTTATTTTTTAAGCCAGATCATCACTGTTAATGGTCTTTTGCTTCCCATGAAACAGAACTTTCGTGCTGTTACGGACGTTTTAATGTAAATATACTACCATAGGCTTTCAAGATATGCTTACGTTCAACACAGTTCTGAGGAAACGGAGTACTTACCCGCTTTTTGACTTCGGTATGTGTGTTCACCTCGGGAAGTATAGTTTTCCCTACCCCAAGAGCCGTTAGTTCCGCGCCTAGTATAACCTAGGATTCTCGTTGCTTTTTATTGAGATCACTGGCATCTTAGTGTCAATGTTTTTAGGTTATAGCAAAAATTATGAACCCGTGAAGATTCTCCCATTGACGGACCATTAAAATTGAGCGGCGAATGAGATTTCCCGCTTCAGTTACCTCTTCCATATTGCCACTTGGCTTTTCATCATAAGGTTCCTCCTTACGGAATGAAGGCCAAAGTTGGAAGTTGAGGATCCCTCCAATACTTCCCATCTCTAAACACCAAGTATCACTTTCTAGTACTACACTGTATATCATCGTGTGAAGGACCAAGGCATAGTTTACAAATACGTTTCTTACTGAGTTCATCGCTGTACGCTCAAAATCACCTAGATATATGGGCATAGATCGCCCTCTCTTATGAGACAGCCCCACAAGTTAATTTTTTTGTTGTCATGGAAAGCACCTTTGATATCTAGGAAATTATGTTCAATGCAGTTCAAGTATTCATTGCAAGGTGAACACGTATCAGTTCGGCTCAGACGAGGCCGGATTGGTTGCCCGCTCACCGGAATAGGTCTGTGAAGAAGAAATATATCGATAGCATGGAAGCTGATGAGGCCGATAGTGTGGTGTCTGCTGCAATTGGGGAGTTGATCCTTCATAAAGCTAGAGACGGTGGTGCTGAAATTTTGGTGACAGCTATGCAGGAAGTTACTGTTAGAATGGAATAGTGGACTGCTTACTCAGAAATGTTGCTCTGTTGCTACTGGGCTATAAACTGGATGTCGGCCTCGTAGGTTGCTCTTGTCACGTTTGAGTCGACCAGCTGATGCTTTCATGTTTTCAGCTAGTAAGACAACACCTATGTTATGAGTTTTATGAGTTAGCTTACTCAGCTGGAAATCAAATGTCTTGCATGATGTCAGACTGAAGTCGGTTTGGGCGCAAGCGGAGACGGCAAACAAACATCTAAACTATTGAGATTACTGAATACACCTGCGAGTTTAGGACACGCAACCTAGTATTTATGGGGATCCGGTTGACCGAAGTTGATTCTGCAGAGGCACTGAGTTCGATCCCAACACCCACTTGTCAGAGCACCACTGTCTTAGAACCCTCGGACATGTTGAGGCTGTAGATATGTTTAGATCTAACGGACGGACGATGCTGATCAAGTGTTATGCTAAAGTCTTCTGCTTTCTGAAACTCAATAAACGTCAAGATTTAGAGCTTCCGGAGTTCATGAAGATCCACTCCGTTGGGCACTCGGTGGAGGTCAACTCACATTAAAGATGGCGTTCAATATGGTCTTTCCGCTGCTGTGGCTTACGGGCTGAAGGCTCGAGAACAGCCTCCGACGGGCTTCATATTGTATCTCTGAATAGCCCTATCCTGGTGCAGTCATTCTGCTGAGGCTCAGTATTGTACCAGAGTCTCGTTCGTATTGAAGGCCGTCAACAGCGGTTATCCTCTGGCGCAGAACCACAAGACCGAAAGGATATGAATTCTAAGGATCTGTATCTAATCAGAAAATTGTGTAGGAAACCCCAAGTGTGCATGGAATGAAGAGTTCCGACGGACGGCTCGATCGATCAACACAAACAGGACAATTACTGGCTTGTCGTTTGAGCCATCGGGAGAACCAATTACAAGGCTCAAGCTTGAGTACATTTGTCTGTGCACAAGTGATAATTGGCATGCGCTGGTGGAGTAGTAACAGCGTCAGTTCAAACCCTGGCACGGTCAGTGAGCTCCAATACGAGCGAACTCGAGTCTGATACTTAATGTTCGCTCACTGTAATAATTGCTCCGGGACAGGAGAAAGACTGCCCAAAGAAGGGTGATATGAATCCTACCCTCCCATCATCGCAACCCGGAGTTTGGCCATAGGTAGAACGTGACTAGCAAAGTTTGGGTTAACATGAAAAATGGAAAGGGGATGAGGACCAAAAATATTCTTGTGTAATCTAGATTGCAAGTGTGTTACGTTCAGTGAGTAATTCGATCTACACTCCTGTGAGGTGACAGTGTGGGTGTTTTGGCATCGAACAAATATGTAGTGTTAGACGTGTGAGTAGAATGCATCTCGGTTACTCAAACCCAGAGCATTTAAATGTGGTAAGCAACAGAAGGAAGGCGGGACCTGCCAATACTCTGGGATCTGATAACCAAAATCCAGTCCCTACGCTCTTGGTATGTAGGCCAATTATCTGGGGTGCTCAACTTGACCATCGCGTTTTGGAATCAAAGTTTAATTATCCCTAAACAGACAACCAACGGTCTATCAAGCCTTCCTCAACTTATTGATGACTGGGTGGGATTTAGTGAAACTAATGTGACTCATTTTGCTGGAGATGTTGCTCGATGATAATGTGGAGATAATTTCGAGTCTGATTACTTTCAGCAGTCACTCCCAACCATAATGCAGCATCATGGGACCGTGTAGAACGACCTTAACCGAGCTGATTTATTTCCGAACTGAAAATCTGAGACCAACACTCTTGCTTGTGTGGTTCACGATCAGCGTCTTATGAGGATGTAGGTCGAGTGGGCCAGGAAGAAGGGAGATGAACAAACGACGAGACAGACCAGCTAGGCGCTGTTACAACCGATATTCTTCATCTGGGACTCCGGTTAAGATGCTCAGTACTGTGCTAACCAGTGCATTATCGTCACACAAGTGGTGAATGTCACAATGTTGGGAACCGTAAGGCGAGGTTCAAACTGACGAATGTGGGGTGTAACTGAGCACAGGAAATCACATATGTGAGGAAAGAATTAGAATCGAAGTGCAAACCTTCTGAGGGCTTCTACACTACTCTTTTCCGACCCCGTAAACAATGTCATCAAGACGCACTGTCTCCACTTGCATGACACTGAGCAGCGGTATCACATTAATAGGTTATCGTCAGTATAGCTGGTAAATTTCGTGTTTCATGCGCTTGCTGGTTTTTTGGTAGTAAGAGGTGAATGACAAACACCGACCCACTCAATATGACCAACGGCGAGCCGATAGCCCAATCTGATTTGGACGCATTCTTGTTAGTCTTCTTTGACCTGAGAATAATCTGGTAAACAGTGTCATCCATTTCAGCCTGACAGAACGGAGTTTTCGCTCGTCGGTCCTCTGAAGTGCTCTGAATCCTGAACTGTCGAACGTACAACCCATTTTTAAAACTATGGGAATTCCCATCATAATTTAGTTCTTAGTGGGTGAATTGGTGCGACTTTTGATTAGGAGAAGATGGCGAGTGACATCCGAAAAACAATTCAGAATTTACAGTGGTATTAATGTAAGGGAATGGTTTAAAAGCCGAAAGTGGAAAATGGGCGTCATAAACCGGTAGAATCATTTCATTTACCGTCCTGGAGGCGAGTTTTTCAATGTACTCTGGCACTTCACTTTAAATCCTTTACAGATCACTGTACTATGGCTTCAGTGGGTTCTCTGTTTGGATGCTGGATTATACTTCTTCAGTTCTCCTTCAAGGAGCTCGCTACGGTTGTGGGGTTACAGCTGTTTCAATCTTGTTAGATCATCACTGCGTTTTGGTCAGTTCAACGTTGCGGAGTGGTGCAAGCCATTTAGCTGACTTGTTCTACGACCACACATCCCGCTGTCTGTCTATACCGGTTGTCTAAAGGTATGTGGCGGCTGGTTATTGCTCATTAGGAATTTTTGACTTATTCAGTAAGCTGGGAATAGTCCAAACCTGAACGAGAGCGCATGAGACCTGAATTGGCAGTGCCCCATCATACTCATTCAGAAAATACGCAGACCGTTAGCCATTCTGAATAGTGAAATAATGGGGAATTGTGTTTGTGTTAATGATCAGGTTAAAATCCCTGTAAATGGACAAGATTCATGGATTTAGTATAAATTTAACGCCTGTCTAGAACAAATTACTTGTGATCTTGGGGCACACTGGAAATCCGAATAAGGAAGTACAGGGATCTGCCAAGATGCTCGCAAGTGCGGAATGCTGACCCTTCATAGACACTGTGGACGCTCTTATTTTGCTCGATCAGAAAAAAGAGAAACCGTCGAGTAACACGATAATGCTTTTTATCGCCACCTTTAAAGGACGAGTAAATGGGGAGCTGGAGGATGCCGTGATGGAACAACTACTTGAATATTGATTAACAGCAGTTGGCGGCTGAATCTACTCGCAGTTGGTTGGCTTCAGTTATGGACGGTCGGTTAGTCTGACAAATCCGTAGGTGCGTAGCAAGAGAAGTGTGACCTAAGCCTACTGTGAGCTTCTGACCGGTACTGCTAAATATGCAATCTTTTTTGCAGAACACTGGAAGGAAGCGAGTTTTCTTGTATTTAATCACTCTTCTGTTTCGCCGGACGTTCACTGTTTGCTTATTTCCACATTTACAGAACATGCCTTCAGATGGGCGCAAACAGCTACTTACGACGTCACGTAAAACCGCGCATCCTCTTAGTTTGTTATTCCGTTCACATCTGTTGGGGCACGTGCCAAGTCATTTTGGTGATTCGGTGATAACTAGAAACAAATCACGTGAGACAGATTTGAAACGGACACATTCCAGTCTAAGGACGTACGGTGTAGAATGTGCGTGATCCGTGTCAGGTATATTTTGTCTGAGTTCTGTGAGTCACTCCGGAGGCGATTGTGTTTGATGTAACTTTGAATTCTATCAAAATTTTACCGGACAAAAAGAGGATGGTCCTCCACAAATTGTGTAATCTTTCAGGATCACCTGTTAGATCGCTTATTTTAATGTTGAGGGCACTTCAAGAAGTCACACTCAGCTTGTCCTTTCCAGCTGGCTTTGTAAGTCATTGTTATACTTGTCGAATTGAGTGCAACATAAGTTTGAAGAAAACCCGGGAAATGATGAACACGAAGAATGGCGAAACTGGTCGTGGGCTGTCGACGAGTAATCAGCAAGCTTATGGGTGATTTCTTCCATGAAAGTGTACTGCGGTATCTGGAATATCGTGTCAAATGAAACCTGAGACGTCATTTGTATAGCGCATTCAGTTAAATAATGTCATAAACGAGGGATTCAGTTGGGATTCATGTGAGACCTACCTGCGACATGTAAGTGTTTGGGCATGTGAAAGATAGCAGCCTCCGAGTGCTCCACATGGATGGTTACCTAGTACAAGCAGGCACGATTCATATTCGAGAATTTTTCGGTGTAGATTTCGGCCCGTAAGTGAAGCTAACCTATGCTGAAAGGCCGAGAAGCACTGTATAGCTGTTTCAGCCTTATTGGGAACGGTCAGCAGCGCGCGCCTTGCGGAACTCCACGTTGTCTCGAATCCTCGACCTTCCGCCTATCAGTCTGAAATCGTAGCCGTTTGGCGACGAGCGGATGATCAGCAGTGTGAATAACTCACACTTGTACGCGAGTTACTCGAACTACTGATCAGCCGGTCGTGGCTAAACGGCTGAGTTCAAACTTATAGGTGGGAGGTCAAGGGTTCGAGGCCCTGTGGAGTTTCGTGTGATGCGTACTTCTGATTGTTCCCAATACGGATGAAACAACCGTGTAGTGCTTCTTGGCCTTTCAAAATAGATTAGATTTACTTACAGGACGAAATCTACACCAACAAAAGATACTACATACCTAACCGTGTACAAAATCTAAAGCATAAATTTTGTGTGTGAGGACCGAATGGCGTTCAACAGATACACATGGAATGTATGGTGGGCCGCCAACTGTTCAGTCCGCGTCTTAAAAACATTAAAATATAGGCAAAGATGGTTCTTCCTGGGATCCACTGGTGGCATTCTACATGCTGTTATTCAAACAAGTGTACTGTCTTCGCCAGTGCTCTTAGTAGTATTCGTATGTCAGAGGTGTTTTCGGCAGTTGAGTGAAACAAGCCTCTTAGTGCTTATTTTTCGTGAGATAAGACGACAAGTTGTGGGCATGTAGTATTTGGTAATAAACTGGGCGGACTTAGACAGAAATGCATCGTACATTCATGTACAAAATGGGTTTCTGATATTAGTTATATATACCATATATGTACTCAACCTGCCAAGTCATGGTCATCCATAGCATCCAAGGGATGGTCGTAATTCCTACTGAGATTGGAGTGTGTTTCTCCAGGCCAGAGAGATATTACCTCAATGCAACGATTTCGTTGTGGGGCACAACAACAGACTCAAACAGACGAAGTCTCAACAGCATTTTTCAGTTGTGTCGAAAAGTCAAAAAATGTCTGTTCATCTCCTTCTAGTGTCAGAGTCAGATTCGTGAGGGCCCTTAGCAATATATCTGTCTTTCTTAACATACATTCCATCTAGCTTAATGAGTTAAGTCGCTCAGCCACCCGGGGGATTTTTATCATAAACAACGGTTTCGTTTTCACTTGGAAAGGCTTTCCTGTGCCCCCAGATCAAGGACCTCATTTCATCAACTTTTCTTGTGTCAGTACAAGGTTATTGTAGTAAACCATGTGTGTAATGTTGAGGCCATTACGTCTAATATTTATTTATACAACAAACGAACTCCAATTTCTAGTCAAGTTTTTTCCATTTAGTCGTTAAAATATCTTGTCGCCAATGATACATATCATGGATATCTTTAAACCAGCTCGTTTTACTTGGATATCGGCCGTAATTTTGAAGAGCCCTTCGTCAAACTGAAAATTCGCACCATTCACTAAAAATTTCTTCGTCTTTCTTTCTTGAACAACAAAGGGGTGTTCTGACCAGGATCCTCTCCCATGTTTTGCGTAAATCTTGGCTGGAACAAAGAAACAATTAATTTCAAATTTTCTATCGATCAGCGTAGCCCGAAAGTGGATCTTTCTTGTTATCACTTGTCCAAATACTGGGGCCCATATTTGTAACAACGGTCACGTGGTTTGTGCTTTTTGGAACGGGAACGGTGTCAGAGTTATTCTGCGAAAATGGCCAAGACAATGCATCAGAATTATCTTATCTTTGTTGTCTTTTTCGATCATCGCCATACACACTGGTGCTCTGATAATATGAGGAGGTTCTAGAACATTCCAAATCATTTTATGAGGAAAAACCGCCGAACACTGTGTAGCAGTCCCATCCTGATTGGAAATCATCGGCGGTGCGCATCTCGCATCCACAGAGAATTCGAACTCGGAACCTTCATGCTAACAGTTGATATTAGATCGTTTTGATACGAACAGCNTTTGACTACGAACAGCTAATCAGCAGGAAGATTAACTGGCACTCATACGGGATGACCACCATTCACCCTTCATTTAAGGGATTCACATGACGAATTAATTCATCGAATAACTCCTCCAATAACAGCTTCTCACATGGTTTGGTCGTCGTACCAATTATTCTTCCTTCTGGCTTACTTAAGGTTTACTGAAAATGTAAGGGGATTTGGAAATTCTTCAATAGAACTTTTGCCCTGTATGTGTAGTCAGGCACCATAAAGCTGTCTTATCCTAATTAAGGATTCTCAGCAGTACGCACCTCACACGACAAGTGCGTCTTTCGTCTGAGAAGTCGTTATTCGATGAGACATTCAAGGGATGATCACGTGGTGTGAATTCCTAATTGCAGCACCGGGAGCTATATTTTTTCTAAATGTGATTTAATCACACTACTGATAGGCTGCTCCTGAGCCAGCGGTCGATTTTTCAACTGCTAGTCAAGCGGCTGCGAGTTCGAATAGCCTTGGAGACACAGACCTGTAGATAATTTAAGTGATAGGAAGCAACCGGTATTTTACCCGTCTTTGAGTTTCGCGAAGTTTTTACTGTGCGTGAAGCACAACATGTACAAACGTATACCACCGTTTCATTGGCACACATCGTTTGGCAAGAAAACAGCTTCCATCACAACCACTACATTCATATGTGTGCTACATTTATGAGGTTACCTGTTTTTTCGAAAACGGGATTGACTGACAGAACAGTGGGTTGAGTTACCACAGAGCAGAAAGTGTCTGAATCTATGGAGCACGGTCTCTATCACACGGTGTGAATCTTTCAAAAATTCTATAGCAATGCTATCTGCTTGTGCGACACTTTTATTCCCAAAAACGAGCGATTTACCTCATCTTTGGACATGGCATGAAAGACGCAGTTGAGCTTTGGAAGACTTAGTTTGATAACGGGACAATGAGGGTAGTGTGGCACGATTATTGTGGATGCTGTTATCTCATCGCAGATACTTCTTTGTCACGACAAAAAAGGGCCGATTGCTTCAATAAAGTGTGCAGAAGTTGTTGCTGCCAATTCTCACTTATTTGAAGTCTGCTGTGACGAAGAGAAACTAACTCTTCAGGTACTTTACTCATTGTTAATAAAGGCATGAAAACACTTGGGTATGTCTGGATGCTTCCATTTTCGTCCGCACTTATTTCTTGACCAAAGCCAATGCGTCGTAATTGTTGACCTCAAAAGACAGAAGACATCAAAGTGAACATGGTCAAGAAATAAAACCGATTTCGAGTTAAGGCAGCGTTCACTATCTGTGCTGCAACGATCCGCTTCTGTCGTCTTATACTTGGGGATATTTATAGGTTGTTTACGGAGATTGATTGCTAAGTAATAAAACATTGAGACAAACTGGATAAAATGTCGCCCTACGAAAAGTTTGTGACATATATTGAGCGAAGCGTCTTTGCCTCAGGAATTAGTTAGTACGGGACGGCTAAAATTCGCTAGACTCTCCCTTATCAGTTACACCCTCTGTCTGACTCGGAAGGTGTGCGCAGTCTCCGGAAGCTGAGATAATCAGCCCCTGGCCGGCACAACAATGTGACCGAATGTTTGCTTTTAAGCCCATGTGCATGACGAAATTGCTGGAGTTTGCGGGCTTTGAGCACTCATCCCACACTACTTAGTTCAGAACAAAAGGAATTTTATTGAATATCTTCGCAACGGAAACTCGAGGTAGTCTGTGTGCTGTACATTGTGAACATAATGCACGTGAGCTTCAAAGTTAAGTGCTGTCTTTGATGATGATAATGATGATGTTGATGATGATGCTTGTATTTTACATTGTTTTCGCAAACTTTTGTATGAAATGGGAAAGACGTCACTTTCCTCGCGTGACGAATGCGGACATTTTTTATAGGTGCTTTGCTCATGATAAGAGAACATCTCTATCTATTGGGGCCTTTCGGCGGAAGAAGCCATGTAATGGCGTTTTCATACGACAAACCTCTGGGAACTTTTCTTTCCCTCTTGGATGTCCTCAGACGTCCTTGAACGGTAAACAATGGTTGTTGTGCACAACCACCAACCCATGGGTACGCAACGCTGCACTCCCTACCAACGCACCGATGATGTCACCTCGACTGGTGATGAAACGTTTACAATCAAAATGCCCAGCTAGGCGAAAAAACCAACGACCATATGCTATGGTGAGATTTCATGTTTTAGACTGAGCAACGGCTAATGAATGTTCACTTCTAGAAAGGTATAACGAACTCTGCGTAGTCCACTATTCCTGAATAGTGGTGATACCTAAAACCTTTAGAATAGAAGCTTCATTTTATACCTTTGAGATGAAGAAGGCTGATTAGTAGTGTGGTCATTTACACTTAAACAGGGAAATAAATCTCTCATCTTCTTGAGGGCATAATAATTTCAGAGATTGGCTAACTAATCACATTTCACTTCCTTCTGCCATCTTTCAGTAGAAGGATGCTTCGGGGGAGGGGGTTCAATGTGCGCTTTTGACGTGTAGCACTGAGTCAGGCATTGTTGAAACTCGTCCCCTCTGCGGCACTCACTTGCAGTAAGCGCCTCGTTGGCCGACTTGGGGACTTGTCATCATCACCATTATCATCATCATTGGCAGCAAAATCACTGCCATACAACCAAGTGAACTTATTTGTAAGAGTGGAGTGGGATACTGCCATGGCTCCAAGACGTAGACAGAAAGACGACTAGAGTCGTTAACCTAAGCTTTTGTTTCAAAAGCCTGAACGCAAGGCAGCGATAGTTCACGCAAGACCCTTAGAACCCTTAGTCACCACACTTATTCCAACCCACAACCTGGAGGACCAGGAAATTGTGTTTGTCAGACCTCTAACCATTGACCAACTTGATGTAGGAGGCTTTGCTGTTGTCACACGTACACTCTCCAGTATAACTCAAAAGGTTATGAAGGTTCACAAACCGCGGTAAGTTCCACTCCCTTTGTGACGAAAGCACGAGTCAAACATATCTCCGGATCTGACGAATTCGACTTTAATCGAGAACCTTTGTGTCTTAGTTTCATGACTTACCATACTGTTTTTTTTCTCAACTTGCAACATAGCGCTAAACCGTGATACTAGCTTACGAAACAGCCCACTTTTTGAAGGCTAAACTGAGTGCTCGCTATTTCAATACCAAGTAAACTCTATTACTTAGCAAAATACACTCATTTGTAAACAATTCTGAGTTTGCGTGAGACTCAGCTGGAACCCAGTTGAATCTCTCGTTTATGATGTTTTTAAGCAACTGAATGTGCTGAACCAAACCGCCTCATGTTTTATGTGGTACGATGCTCGAGATATCGCGATACATATGTATAGGCAGTACATCATCCTAATACTCATTTCGGATACATATGTAAGTATGTTACAGGGAAAGCTGGTTGGTTACAGTATATGTTTTCCGCCAAACATTCTACGCATATATAAACGCTGCTCACTTGTTTTTGATGTTTTATGTCAGACAGCTCAGAGATACCCTTCGCAATGCTGGTTTGTTTTTGCACGACAGAAAAATCAACAGTTCACCCTAGCATTTTGCAAGAAAGTCCTCAATTTTTCTACTGAAACAACGGTTTTTCTGGGACCAACTACGTCTGCACTGGTTAATACATATTCACCGAATATATCACGATTCTCTGCTTTCGGATGAAAATGAACTGATAATCTGTGCAGCTTGAGACTGCGCCAAAAAAAACTGTTCGATTCACAGATCCAAGGCATGCGAAAACTAGGAAGCAGCGTCCGTTCAATACGCCTGCCTGTACTTTCGAGACATAAACTGACTGTTTGAGCTAGTATCCGCAAAAGACCACATCAGTTACTAGTGTTTTTGCGTTTGGGTACTTACGCGATGGAAAAAGCATTGGAGATTTGAATAAAGTGGGAACCAGAGTGACAACTCTATCAGCAAAGTGATTGACATTTTCAAGTTCATATTGAAAGGATCACCACCATTCCTAGTGATGTGAGTCCAATTTCATGCAGGTTAATGGGCTTATTTGGCGAATTACTAACACTTACGCGGCCAAAAAGCTTTAAAGCTGACTGTCTTTTAGTAGCCTAAAAAGCAACATAACATAAAGGACATAAGCCTCTATTCCGTTAGATATTCCACCGCAAGATGGACGTTGTCACTCGATACCAACGGAGCCCAGCCTGGAAAACAAAAACGAGCCCTCGTGCTTCGAGTTTATGAGTAAAGTCATCCTATACTCTGCGAAGAATATGAAAAAACAGAGAGATTTCCACTCCAGGTAAAAACATATCCATATTTGTGGAAGCCTGTATTCTACCATTCCATGGAAACAAAAGCTAGAAAAATTCGCCCAGTAAAAGCCAAACTCAAACCACGCTCAAAGGTTGACAGCGGCCACCTGCTTATATTCAGTACGATGAAACAATTTTTGAAACCGGTAGTCAGAAACGCATGCCTTTTTATCTGCGGCTGCGCGCTAGGGAAGACTCCCACAACCAAGTGGGTCAGACCATTAAGTCATTGATCCCCAGAAGGGTCCCCCTGTTTTTACGCCGGCCAGACTCTTGAGTCCGAAGATTAAGTTGGGCCTCCGGAGCAGGACCCCAACGTCTCGCCTTGTATGTAAGTCGAAGTTTCGATATAAGGTACTTGGAACAAACCCACCTTTTCCAGTGCAAACGAGAATAGGCACCTGACCACGCAGCATGGGAAAATCGGCTGGTTTCCCTAATTTATCAGCTCGAATCCTTATTACTACTCATGCCATACAGTCTCGCATGTTTGAAACTCTTGACCCACCATCGATTCCTAGCTATCCATCATAAAATACAGATTAAATATGCACTAGTAAAACAAAGGAATCTGTAAAAGCACCTGCCCATACCGTTTATCAGAGAGGTCAATAGATTTATTCTCTACAAAACATGTACACAGAACCGTGTTATGAACACAACCCAGTTTACTCTCCAGGTACCAGGTTATCCATAAGCGGCCTCCCTTGGTTTCAATGGTGTGCGTACTGCGTTGAGTGCAAGAGCTGGAGACGTTCTCCTTTACTGAATTCCTATGAAGAAGTGACTTCATGCAGTCAGACCGGTCGGGTGTGTGGGTATCACTGTTCTGCTTGACGATTTAAATGCACAGTTGACAATAGTCTGTAAGCAGGAGAGCCGTCTCGGCGGAAGATTCCATGTAAATGTTCCCAGGACCGACAACAACGACTGTTGCCTGCATCTCCATCCTGAGAGCCATCAGGGTGTACTAACAGAACCACAAAATTGCAGCAAAAGCTTGAGCACCGCATCAACTGGCGCTCTCCAAATCATAACCAATCGACTACTCAACTTGACTACATAGGAGTTGTGACGGCTCCTCTCTGCTTATTCAACTGTTCGACCAGTTCCCTTAGTCCGACCTGCACAAGCGTACTTACAATTTCCTATCCATTTTGTTTGATGCTATCTTAAGCATCATGTATCAGGCTTAAGAATTTCACCCACATCAGGTCAAGTTGTTTTTGTTTATGCAACTGTCAAGCCGGAATGGCCGTATGTGTTTTTACGCTGTGCAATATAAACACACCTTCAACTCGTCGCAGCACACGCCCGCACACAAGCCAGGAAACAACCAAACTCTGCAGGTTCACCGACAGTAACAGAACACATGTAGCAGCTAGACTGCAGAGAATAAACCTCCCGCGTATGGGGCCTCACCCAGCAAGTTTTGCTCAAAAATGATAAGTCCCCTTAGGACGTGTTTTATTTTGGAATTGTATTCATAATATACAAGGTGCGTCTAGCAACTACAAACTGTTGTATTGCACAGTATAAACTGTTATTAGTGCACGGCACCTGCAGATTCTTAATGTGACCATTCATAACCAAGGCACTAATACGGTTAACTGTAGCTGGATACCTTGTGTACAGGACCGTGTCCCCTTTTGGAACATGTACAGAGCTAGATGATGCCCTTGTTCGTTGCAGCTCGTTCCCCATTCACCTGTTTGTTATTCACCGTCCGCAAGATGTTTTCAAAAATTCTCTTAGGAGTAGTTCTTCACACAACTACCGAACCAGAAATAAAGCGGCCTCTTGATTCAAAACTGGTTTGATATCCGAAACACTCCGTTTGGTGTCTAAATGCGTGCATCTCAACACAAAGTCATGGCTAAACTCAAGTTGGATATCTGAAACAAGAACTTTTCCTGATTGATTCGAAGCGATCCCACCATGTCGACAGTACATTTCAGAAAGATCGTTGAAACGATGCTCAGGCCATGGTTTCAGGCCAATAAGGATGTGTTTAGAGGATGTTAATGGATTGTAGGGGCCACAAGCGAATGGACGCCGAACCTTTATCTGCTTTATCTGTTGCTATGGCAACCACCAGTTAACAAAGTTCTTATAAAGGAGGATGGCTCAAAACTCTATTTCAATTCCGGCCGCCTGCCTCGGTGCGCGGAACACTTCGAAGAACAATTTAACTGACCCAAGGTAACCAAGGTAGTGGTCAGTGCACCATCAGTTCCTCATCTGGACGTGAGTGGCTCCTTCTAGACAGAAGATGAGGTAAAAAAGGAATCAAACTTTTGAAGCTCAACGAAGTACCCAGTTGCAATTGTCTTCCCCTTGTCCTGTTTGAGGATAACAGAAAAGGACTCTTTCATTGTCTGACAAAACTCATATAGAGGATTTGGAAGGAATTGTTAGAATAATGGGAGATATCAACTGTCTTCCCCTTCTCCTGTTTGAGGATAACGGAAAAGGACTCTTTCATTGCCTGACAAAACTCATACAGAGGATTTGGAAGGAATTGTTAGAAGGATGGGAGATATCAAGGGTAGTGAAAACTTAGCAAGCTTTCACCTGGATTGTGGATTCACTGACCACAACTTTAATTTCCGACAACTTCAACACCTCCACACATCCAGTTGGTCAACAACCTTCGGCTTCTTCGATCTGAAAACAACGCACGACTCATCCAATCATGCTGCTTTTGGACGGTATAACTCTTTCGAAAGTGCTTCGGACACCTTCAGCACACCTGTTAAATCCCTGTACACCGTGTGCGCATGAAGTTCTGAGAAAATTTTCCTGAGTCCGCCACCAAAAGCTTTACAGTCGGAGCTGCCCCTCGTCATCAGTCTTTTCACACTCGTAGTGTAAATAACTTTCGAAGAAATTTACGACACGCATTCCACACATGGTATCGATCTTTTCCCATGAGAAGGCCTTAACACCTGGAATATGCGGCTGATATCGCGCTGCTTAGTTCAGATTCCACGCAGACGCAAGATATGCTGTTAACCTAAATAATATTACCACGGAATTTAGTATGCACACACCTTCACTGTGGGGTTGCAAGGCCGGATGAGCACACCACTAGAGCATCAGCACTACTGAGATCGAGATGGCTCAGTGGTTAGGGCGCGAACTTACTGACCGGAAGGCTCATAGTTTGAACCCAACCTCTGCATCTCGACTGCTTCTCCCCAGGCTTGGGAATTAGAAAGTATCTCGACCATCGTGCTTCCTTCATGCTTTCATCAGAGATTGTGGATAGGTTTGCTTATGGAGGTGTTTACCTCATGTCAGATGGCAGCATAGCTGAAGGACCGAATCCCACAATCCCTAAAGCCTGTTCTACTTCCATTCAACTCAGGCACCTCTGAGATCCACGTGAC